TGTAAAAGCTAATTTCATAATTTTTTTTGAAGAAGTTTTTTATTTGTCTAACAGGAAACTCCACGGACCATCAACCGAACCTCAGTCCAAGCTCAGCCCCAAACACTAAACTCATTCCAGCTCATTTCCTAAAATAAAACCAGTTTTGTGTTTGCGTTCAGTGTAAAATCCTCGGGCTAACACTGCAGTACCTGTGTTGGCTTGCAGGAGGCAGCTCTGCGGGCCTTCTACCTCCCAGATGAACCTCAGGAGTATGAGCTGATCGAGGTTGGCAGTCTGCAGCGTCCCCACAGTGACGACATCCTGAACCGCAACGGGAATCCAGACAACAGAGGCTCTCTGAAAGATGGTGGCGATGCCTGGCTGCTGAGGGCCAAACCACAAGATGCTGAGGTCATCAAGGTGTATGCCAGCTGGCCCAGGTGAGGGCCGCTGAACTCACGGTTCAGTGGGAGTCCAGAGGTCCAGATGATGCTGAACTGTAGCTTCTCTTGGCCACAGAGTCGCAGCATTTCAGGATAGCAGTTATATTACAGAGATTAATGTGTACAGAATGAATTTTACATCAGGAAATGCTGTTATAAGCAGCAGCATAGCAGAGAAGCCTTCGTGGAGTTGTCGGTGGAGTTTAAGGCCGTAATTACCACAAAATAATCACATAACTTTGCTCTTCTCCAGTTTGTTAATGTTGTTGCTTGATGTGTTTTTCAGGTCCGGTGCAGCTTTTGTCCCCGTCTCCATTTCAAAGAACAGCACAGCAGCTTCAGTCCTCACTGAGGTTCTCAGTCAGCTCCAGAGACAGGTAGAAACCAGGTGGAGAAGTCACTGAACCTATGTATCTGTTCAATACACATGGACATGAGTTTAACAGACAGACATCAGTTCTTTCTCACAGCAGATGTTTTCATATGTCAGTTACTTTCAACTGATCAAGCCGCTGTAGTTAGTAAGACCTGGTGTTTTCCTGCTATGACAAGACAAATTGTCTGCAGGGGAACAGAACGATGGTTCGCTCCTACACAGTTACTGTTCATCCACATGTCTCTGGACTGAACAGAACATCTGGAGCAAACTAGAAACAGAGGAGCGCCTCTGCCTGTACGCTTGTTCAGGTCATCGTTCTGTGGCCAGATGAGTCCCTGTGCTGCCTCCTTTAAATGAAGATACCTAAATATATGATATGAAGACTGAAAATTAAAAATAAGAGGTACTGTGTGCACCACACAGAACAGTTATTGTTGAGAGACAAATGACCAGAAATAAATGAAGGAGCCAACTTATTAAATACAAAGAATATGATAAGAATGTAACCAGGTGATGGGGAGGCCGTGCCGACTGCGCTGTTCAGAACAGTGAAGGCGAACATGGACTGACACCCTGCAGTTCTGTCCAGTTCAGGAAGAGTCAGAGCTGTTGCTGATCTCTCTGTGTCATTTCAGGAGGAGGACTGGACCAGGTTCAGCCTGCTGGAGGTGTGCATGAACAGCAAGCAAGGTGAGCTGCAACAGTAAGGAACTGAGCAACAGCTTGTTCTCATGAATGACTCGTCATGTATAACATAAGCTGATGAGCAGCTGTCTGATATGTTGGTGCTGCCACCGTACTGGCGCTGAGACAGCAGCCCTGTTGTGACACGTATATGTACTTCGGATCAGGTGGAGCAGGTGGGGGCTGTGGTACTGACCCTTTCAGTCCTATAAGTGTGAGGTGGAGCTGCAGGACATCCCACAGATACTCTGTCACACTGAGGTCTGGGGAGGTTTGAGACTGAACCAAACAGTGTGTTCAGTGTGGCAGGGTGTGTTATCCTGCTGGAGGAGGCCTGAAAGTGTGTCTGACATCTGCGTGAAGCTATGTTGTGCAAGATATGACACACTGCCCAGAGAGAGGCTCCACCCTGGAAGTCTGCCATGTCAGAGCTGTTTTTACTGTCTTGTTGTTGGTGTTTTCTTTACTGTGTGAAGCATCTTTCAGTTCCTTGAGTCATTTATTTCATCTTAATTGTTGCTATACTGTAAGAGCAAACAGAAGAGCAGAAGCAGCCTCCAGGTCCCCCCTTCTGTCGCTCGGTGTGATAGTAACACAGTAGGACAGAAGGTCATGACCTTTGTTTCTGTCCCCCAGTACAGAGACAGACACTGACTCCTCAGGAGAAGATTCTGGACAAACTGCAGGAGATCAGGAAGGTGAGAGGAGCAACGGCGTTGTGTTAACACAATGCGACAGCACCACAGAGGGCTGGGCCACAAAGTGTACCTCAGGTTGCAGCTGTAGAATACAAAAGCACACACTCCGCAAGAGGCTGAGGAACTCGTTTGTCACTTTGATTTAGTAATTTAAAGAATTAAATGATTGAAGGGTACATTTTTTTCTAAATTGAGGAAATTAAGTTTTTAGAAGCCTCTTTATCCATAAGACGACAGAATCCGAATAAAAACTCCATAAACCAAGGTGCACAACAGAGAAGAAATGCATGGATAAATAAATAAATAAACAACCCCTGGATGAATAATGATTGTGTTAATATTAAAAGGGAGAAAGGTGAGATAATCCTGACAGACATACCAGATTTACTCCTCTCTCACTTGTCAGCCTTCCTCTGGGCTCTCGCTCATGATTAGCCTGTCCTTGTGTTTTGTGTCATGTCCCAGGTGTCTCTGCGTCAGATGAACCAGACTCGGTTCTACATAGTGGAGAACAGGAACCGAGCGGTGCAGGTTGACCTGCTGATTGTAGGGCTGCCGCCCTTGCTGAGCAAGGAGGAGTACGTCCAGCTGGTCCAGGAGCACCTGGCCATCAAGAGTGAGTCTCTCTTTGCACTGCGTAACACTGGAATGATGCCAACTATCTACTTGACTGTGGCAGGGCCGTGCATAAGGAAAATATACAAAGTTTTATCTTTGTAGTGATACCATGTGACACTGTGTGTGAGCTCTGAGTGTTGGAATTATAAGCAGTTCATATTGAACATCAGTGATGGGTTCTCCAGGTTTATGCCACAGGAGCAAAGCCAGTGCACGTGTTGAATCATTTCAGTGCAGTCATCCTGTTGTGGGCGTACTTCTGCTTGTGCAGTGGCCACTCCTCTAACTCACTTTGTCTTGACTCTCTGCAGGTCACCTGGTCACCATCAGCCACATCTATGCCAGCCAAGGTGAGGCAGTCGTCATGGAAACATGCTACAAACTAGGTTTGAGGGATGAGTGCACTGCTGAGACCAGTATTTAAATCATCTTTAAGCAGCTCTGACCACATGTTGTATCTCTGTTTCCCAGTCCAGTGATCCACAACAACGCCCAGAATCATAGAAAGTAAAATCATTTGGTTATTGCTTCTGAGACAAATGTACAGTTTATAAATAGTGTAAAGTCCCGTTTCCACATCCTGCAGTCAGACAGAAGACAAGGTTCAGAGCTGATTCATGTCTGAAATCTCATAGGCGCCCGGTGTTATTAAAATAAACCTGGCTTTATTTACGTGGCCCCAGGGAAAGAAGAAACACAGTCATAAGTATACAGAACCATACATGTTCCAGTTCCACAGCAGTTCGTCATAAATGGATGTAGAAAGGGCTCCTAGCTTATCAGCACAGGTTACACCCGTCAGTGCAAAGCACATGGAGCGACGCTTCAGTGACTGTGCTGATCAGTGAAGTTCAGAGCAGAGCAGCTGTACTTACATACAGCCATTCCACCTGCTGGCCACAGTCACACTCCTTCACTTTACTGAGTTGGCAATTTAATTTTAAAGGAATAACAGTTTTCTGTCCATCAGTCTGTTAAAAATCACAAACTGAAGCCATTCAGTTCCAGTTCAAGTTCTCAGCTTTAACCCAGGACTCTGTAGGACCCCCTCTGGCAGCAGGTGTAGCTCCAGTCTTCTTGGCTGAGTCTCTACCAGCTACTCACACCTGGATTTGGCCCGTT